AAGTGGTCAGTGCTCCCCAGCCATACTTGCTCTTCTTAAGTCAGTGTCAAAGTTACCAGAGCCTTGTTCCATGTGTCTTGGGTCCCACACAGGGGCAGAGTGTGTCCTTGGTTTGGTGCCAAGATCATGTATAAATTACAAGCCCGAGGACTTGGCTGGTGAGGGAGTTGGCAGGGCAGGGGAAAGTCAGCATAGCAGATGGTCAAGGCCAAGTGTCTGCCTAGCCTGGCTTCTTATTTCTGTCCCTTCTTGCCATTTTGATTTCTCTGAAGACCTCTCTGCCTGGATATAACCAAAGCATTTGGGGACAGGTCAGGCTCTTTATCTGTCACTGTTGTTCTTCGACTCAAAACACAAACTCACCAGGAATGGATTCAGTGACTCAAGCCATAGCATTTTAGTCACTTCATATGCATGTGAAAGTTGGACACTGAATAATGACCGAAGAAAAATTGATGATTTCAATTATGGTGCTGGTGAGGAATACGTGAAAGTACCATGGACTGTCAAAAGAACAACAAAAATTTGTCTTGGAAGAAGTACGGCTAGTGTTGCTTAGAAGCACATACTTGGGACATGCTATCAGGAGAGCCCAATCTCTGGAGAAAGACATCATGCTTGCTAGAGGGGCATCGAAATCAAGGAACGTCCTTAACAGGAGGGATTGACACAGTGGCTGCCAACATTGGGATCACATATAAGAACAAGCATGAGGAGGGAGCAGGAGCTGGTAGTGTTTGGTTTTGTTGTGCATAGGGCCACTGTGAGTCACAACCGAATCGACAGCACCTAACTACAATAATTTCATATAAATGGGATCATATATTTGCCCTCTCATCTGACAACACGCAGGCTTCCTCTGATGGAATACATAGAAATCAAGTTGATTACATATGTGGGAATAGATGATAAAGAATCTCAGTATCATCAGCCAAAAATGAGGCCAGGGTTTGACTGTGGAACAAACCATCAATTGTTCATTTGCAAGTTGAAGTTGAGGGAAATTAAAGCCAGTTCATAAGAGCCAACATACCACCTTGAGTATATTCCACCTGCATTTCAAGAACATGTTTAGAATGAATATGACTCATTGAGCACGAATAGAAGACCTGATGAGCTGTGGTACGATATCAAGAACATCATACATGAAGAAAGCAAAAATCATTGAAAAGACGGGGGAAAATGACAAGATCAAAGTGGATGTCACAAGAGACTCTGATCAAAGAGTAGCTAAGGCAAACGAAAGAAATTATCAAGTAAAAGAGTTGAACAGAAAATTTCAAAGTGTAGACTGAGAGACAAAGCAATGTATTATAATGAAATGTGCATTAAAATGACATGGTGATAGAAAGCCAAAAAGGAAAAACATGCTTAGTACATATTAAACTGAGAGAAAAGAAGGAAAAACTCAAGCCTCAAGTTGCAATATTGAAAGATTCTATGGACAAAATACTGAATGATCAGGAAACATCAAAAGGGGATGAAAGGGATACAGTCACTATATCAAAAAGAACTAGTCAGCATTCAATCATTTCAAGAGGGATTGTGTTAGTTTATTGTGCCAACCTGGCCGATAAACACATGGGGTTCATTGAAGGGTGGAGGGATAAATGGCTTGGTGAGCCTTGCCTTTCTAGTTCTCTGGTCTCTTCCGTTCTGATGGTCGGACCAGGGTGCAGCTGCTTTAGTCAATTCACTTTAGCTGGCAAGGGTCACATCCTGTAAGACATCCCTGAGCAGAAACCACATGGACCTACCCCAGTGCATCCCTGGGTGCTGGAGCAGCCATGTGGACCCTGCCAGCACTGAGATACACGTTCATTGACTCGGCTTTCCTCCTGCTGTGGCCATCACTGTGTCTTGTTTCGTGAGATGGAGGAGGACTTTGTGGATTGGTGTCCGACATATGAGTTAATGTTGGATTTGTGGGCTTGGGCAGCACTGGACTGGAATGTTATTCTTGATGTGCACTTAACCTTTCTATAAAACTCTCTCTTATACATGGGTTTCTGTGGAGTTGTTTTTCTAAAGTACCCAGACTAACACAGGAAAGGCCCTGTTGATGTTTCTGCCCCCACCTAATCCCTTTTGGTAGACAATGTCAGCACAGTCCTCTTGCACCTAGGTTATGGTCAGGCAGAGCTGGAGAAACTTTCAGACCGATTCACAGACTTGTGCTTTATTCAGTCACTCTTACTGACGACTCCAGAGACATCGCAGTGCAACTGCCCAGAGTTACCACCTCAGGATATCTATTCTGGTCTGGCAGATTCCATGCTTCAGTGTCAGAATCTACTTTATTTGTAAAAGGTTTTCATTCATTTCTCATTATACTCTGCTGAAAGAGGAAATGCAAAAGGACTTGTACAGAATAGTCTGGGTCGCCTAAATCTGGTTTTACTATTACTAAAATTATCTTAATACTAATTATCTCAAAACTCACTGCCATCAAGTCGATGCTGACTCATAGTGACCCTACAGGACAGTAACTCTTTGTGGCAGTAGCATAACCACTATGCCACCTAACATCATAGAAACAGATACTCTAAAGTACATGCATTTAATAATAATTTCCCTTAAAATATTTGTCATATTTTCTAATTTTTTTTCATTCTCATTTGATTCAAGAAATATTTTTATTTCATTTTTTAAAATTTCCTCTATTACCCAGTAGTTATTAACCAAGATGTTATTCGATTTCCATGTATCTGAATTTTTTTTTCTTCCTATTGTTCATTTTTCTCTTTTTTTAACATTTTATTAGGGGCTCATACAACTGTTATCCCAATCCATACACACATCAATTGTGTAAAGCGCATTTGTAC